CAGCTGGACACATAATGATGAAGTTTCAAATAAGATTATTTTGTCACCATCATTACAGTAGTTTAAATTTGTAGTACACAGTGTTCAGTTAGTAAGAAAACTGGTCAATTGTTACAACAATGAGAAGAGTAGAAGACCGTTTAATACTTATTAAATACCTATACATGTATTTATGTTTATTATTTATTTACTTATCCATTTATATGTTATTGATTAAAATTTATTGTAATTTTAAATTGTTTCAATACAAAAAATTTTAATTAATAGTATTAATTAGATTTAAATGAATAATAACAATAAAATATTTATAAAAAATATGACATCACGAGAAAATATCCAGATTAACAAAAAAAAAAAATTAATTGATAATATTTTTACATTTAAAAACACATATTTAGTTAAATTTGAACACTTAATCTAAACAATAAATGATTCATAATAATATATTTATATTGCAACTATCCATTATTAATTTTTGGTGATTAATAATACATATTTATCACAAGTATTCGTATTCAAAAATTATTCAAAAATTTGAATTAACTAAAATATAATGATGAATTTTAATTATTTCTTATAAAAAATAGTATCGCAATGCCAATTAACATGTATTGTAGAATTATAAGACTAAAAGAAAGAATTCTTTCGCTATTAAGGAGAGCAATAATCACCATCTGATGGTTTTATAACCTCTCCTTTTTTCTTAATCCCAATGAAAGTGAGTGGGGTTACCAGCAGCAACATGAATCAGAACTCCGCCTATAGCGCCTGATTGTATGGTACTCTAGAAAATGGGCGGCCGTCTGTAAGTTTAGTTGCCACCCGACGCCTGTCAACCGGATTACCAACTTTTATCTAACAACTATTAACTTAATTTTTATTTTTATAATATTATATTAGCAGGAATACCGTACTACAACAATTTAAATGTTCAAAATTGTATAGAATGTCTAATATAATTTTTTATTTATATATTAGGTTAACAAAGAAAAAGTCTAACAAAATAATCCAATAATAAACGAAATTAGAAGTTGTTTATAGTTAGTACAATAATCTAGTATCATGTAATATATCGCATACCTCTTACATCTTACCCAAATTTGATGAATTTTATTTATAATCTCTGCGGGTTTAACTGCAATAACTCAAAAAATGTTGTTGGCAATTTTATAAGAAAATTTTCAACGAGAAACATATATTAAACAGTTAGAAAATGAAATATTCCTTCTTACGTTGATCAATTCTTAAAAACTTACTACAATTAATCAAGTAATATTATTTTGGTGTATATGCCAATATATTAACATATTTCTTAAAAAACAAGCTTTCATAATTTTTAATTTAATTATATTTTCTTACGAAAGTCTTTAGTAGCACGTTTACTTGTTTCAGATATATGATCTTGGAGTTTATAACATATATTTGGTTACTTTGCGTTGAATGGTAACACCAATTAAACCTCAATTCTAATACCCATCAAAAAGTAACTTAATGTCTGTGTTATAAATAATGTTTTTTTAAAACCCAAAATCAATATAAAATATTTTTCTGTAAGAAAACCCTTGAAAGTGGCTAGATTTAAAATTACTATAAATGTAGTAAAATATATAGTTAATTAGTAATTATTAAATTTTGTATATATCATACTGAGTAATCCACTTAATGTGACCTACTTGATATTATTATATATATTTTTTTTCTTTTCTTGATATTTGAATGATAATTTACAAATTAGTAAACTAAAATTGAAATATAGAGTGATTTATAATAGGGGAAATCAGGGCTAGTTGACCCACTTTTTACAGATTGTGTTCTCGTATCAATAGTATTTCAGATAGAGAGACTAGACTCTACAGATAGGTTCAAAAACACATATGTTATAATTTTATATAATAATTTTTACTCTTATTAAAATCTAACCGGCTTAATAATTGATAAAGCAACAATGATATACATTAACTTAGTGTTTTAACTATATCATTTAGATTAAATTATATTAAAAATTATGCTTTAGAATTAAATTTATGTTTTTAGACCAAATTAAGTCAAGATTAAAGATGTTTAAGTCTAAATCATGTATTGACATATGTTTTAAGAAGTCAATTAACGTGTGTCAACTTGCTCTTATTTTCTCTAGATAAATTTACCTGTTTATTGAATGAGTAAAAAATTAATTAAAATATGATTTGTTAAAGACTATTTTTTTTAACTGTATGATACAGAAAAATTAAACAAATAGTAATAAATATATTTTATTCGACTGCCTCTCTAATTTTTGTTTAAAAAATAGTCCGATGTTTTACTAGACAGTAAAAAATAAAATTGTTTGTAAAGGTTATATAGTAAAATTTAATAAAAAAATTACAATATATTTAATATATTGTAATTTGTATTTTTATACAGAAATTTACATCTTTCATCCCGAAAATTCAGTTGATGAAAGAATTTCTCAAAATAAAAAAAAATCAATTTTAATAAATTTTAAACTAGATATCACTATTTAAAGTTTAGTTTTAAAGTTATTGAATCGAGAAAAATAAAGTTAATTGGACATGTCATCCTACACAATGATTTTATAATCAACATATCACAAGGAAATATAACTGGAAAGAAACTAAAGAGGACGCCAAGGAAACAATTTTTTGAACATATCCTGGAACTCGTGAACTGTGCGTCTTTTGTTTATCTGAAGAATTTGGAGTCAAACAGAGAGGAGTGGCTTCAACAACAAGGTATTGTCTTTAATAGATGATGATGCTGAAAATTATTTTTTATATGTGTTGAGAAAAATGAAAATTATAGAAGTAATCCTTTTTATTTTTCTAATCATTCCTGTTATACATGCCACAAAATGTTCAGATATCAAAGTATATCAAAGTAAGTTATCAAAGTAACTTCTTGATTCTTGAGGATATCAATTATCGTTAGTTTAAACATCTATAACAAAAAATAAAATATAAATAGACCAATTATTTGATTAAAAAACAAAATCACAGAATGAAAAGAACATTATTTTGATTTTAAATTTAACAATAATTAAAATTTTAAAATAGTATAAAACAATTTTAGTAATTATCACTGTCACATATTTTGTTAAATCATTACAGAAATAATGTCTATGTACCGTAATCATATGAAACCACATGTTTATAAAAATTACAACTGTATTTTACCTCATAGTTCACTTTGATCTGTTTGTCAAAATAATACATGCTTAGTTTACTTCAATATAAAGTAATGAAGAAATAATGTGAACGGAAACGTCGTTCTTGTTTTAAACAATTTTGATTGCTCATGTTCATCAAGCGATTAATTTGTGTACATGGGAAATCATGTTATTAATAATGTATTTAAGAAAAAGTTATTCACATTTCACTTTGCTAACATATTTGTTTAGTTTCTAAGACTACGCAAACCTTTAACACAATAAGGTTCAATTCTAATTTTTTATTTATTAATTTTTATTAGGACATCGTCAATAGCATCTAGTGATGAGAATAGTTTTTTTTTTATAATTTAATTTGATTTTTTTTTTTTTTATTCAAGTACCTATAATGGTGGAGTGACTCTCAATAGCCACCTGTAACACTACCTATGACAATTAAACAAATATTTATATAAGTTATTCAATAATATTATAAAACGTTAAAAAATATATTTTCTTGAGTTTTTATGGTAGATAATTGGAACTTATACTTCCTTTTAAAAAAAAATACATTAATTTATTTTATAAATCTAATAAAACATTAAAAGTTAGAAAGACTGATTCACTTGTCCAATATAAATTTTTAATTTAATCATTTCCTAAATTGGATAATTTTCTATTATATAAACAAACTTAATATGTATTTTTGCCATTAAAATAATTAAATTAATACCCTTATAAAGGATAAAGGGAAACATATAAAAAAGGTTTAATCATTTAAATTTGAGAAATAAATACTATTTAAATAACACAACGAATAATAATATATAATTATTCTAATAATAATAATAAGAAGTATTATTGAAAATTTAATACAATCTGGTATATTGAAAATTATGGATATTAGGAGTTATAAAAATAAAGTAATTTCACACTCTCTATATCTTAAGCAATTATATTTAACCTTTTTTTTTTCATTATTTTTTCGCAACTTTTCCTTTACAATTAAAATTAATTTGTTAAACTAAAAAAATAAAATTTGATAAAAAGCATCATTGGGAATTTCAAGTATAATTATTATAATCTAAACAGTTGAAGAAGGAACAATTGATAAAAAAAATAAAGTCAGCAAGTTTGTTGATGAGTCTTAATTGACAGAGTATACTTTTTTTCTGTTCAATAAAGTTTCTCAATACCTTCTGTTTTGGATCTACACGAAAAAAGTACGCGATGACCGCAAATTACCATTATAGTGTTTTAAGCTTAATAATAATCTTATGACGACCATTGCACTGTGTCTTAACGACATTATGTAAATACTTATTTGTGCACATACACAACGTACGTAACAACTACCATAAGGATTATGAATTCACAGCGCAAAACTTTTGAAAATTAATCGGATTAACCTTTATCGATGGATAATGTGTAATGGCGACGGCAACGACCGTTATTGGGATTGCCGAGGTTGCATATAATTACATCACTAGCAAAATGAACGGATAATCTCGTCACAAATTAGAACTCATCAACATTCCACGTGCCCGCATAATATTATTACACGGTTATTAGATTGACTGTGAAGTTATTCTTAATATTTTTTTTATCCGATCCTCTACATGAAATTGTAGTGTGAATAGTAAAGTGTGCTCTGTAACTCGTACGACTTGGAGTGTTCGTCGTCGGCATTTGTTCATTAAGCGCACAAAAAACGAGGATAAGTTTGACGAAGGCGGTTCCGGGGTGTCAAGGGGTTGGTAGGGGCGTAAATATTGGTAGTGGTTTAGGCGCTTTCGGGCGTAGGTAAAAGATTGTGCTTCGGGCGACCGCCGCCGAGTGAACAGTAAAAATATTGTACACTCGGCCGGCGACAGCGGCACATGTTCAGTTAGTCGGCTCCGAAACGCGACCGCGTGGCCACGTGCTCTGCTCATCGTCGCCGTATCTTCTTGCCGACAGCAATACCTCAACACAGCCGTCTCGTAACTTCTAAGACTATGACGCCCAAATCGTTTTCGCACTATTCGTGAGCAACTCCTCCCGAAGTAGTAACCACATCGAGCACACTGAACACATTAAATATTGCACAAGTACGGACACATGGATTTCCAAAGCGCCATGGAGACCTTTGCGGAAGCTTGGGTGGCAGCCAATGCCAAAGGCACATTTACCTATCCTGCTATGAATGGTTTTCAGGTAGGACAGTTGAATATTTTAATCGACTTGGACATTTTAACTTACAAGTTTAATTGTATTGTTTATAACACACACTATACCTAATTGCGTATGAAATGAATAATTTTAAAATGGTGAAAAATTCTACAAACAAGGTTAAAATAAATAAAAATTTTTTTAGAAATTATTGCAATAAAAAAAATACAGAACAATGTGACATAAATCTAATTGATGAACAAATTTAAATATAATTATTAATATAAATGTAATTATACAAGGTGTTCAGTTTATCTTAACTCGCTCAATTACTTACAAAATAAATATAATTATGCGAATTATTTTTGTTACCTTTGTCTACACGTTTTTCTAAATTTATCAATCATGAAATAATACTATGTTCATTTATTATGTCTTACAAGAGTATTAAATTATTTTTTTTTAATCACCACATACACATTTAATTAGCTAAACAAAAGAAAATGGCTGGACCATAACAACTTTTGGACCAGTACTTAGGAAGTTATTCTCATTTTTATGCACAGGACAGAGAAGAAGGCCACTAAGAAATGTATAATGAAAAATAAAAATAATCATATAAGTTCTTCGCCTACAGTCTATATTTTAATATTCTAATAATTTCCGAAATACTGACCTAAAGGTTATTATTATTTTCTTACTTGGATCATTTTCTATTTTATATGCTAGTAAAATATGTATGTTTTTATTTGAAAAATACATTTGAAACTTTTATTAAGCATAAAGGATTAACCGAAAAAGTATTTAATGATTGATAATTCCAGAAATATACAACCAAAAAATATGCTTCGAGGTATTTTTTATTTTGTAATTGAGTAGTTTATAATAAACGGATCATGCTGTATGTCTTTATGTATTATTCGATACTATCAATTTTCTGACATTTATTAGGCAAAAAGTATAAGGTTTAAATGATTAAATTACTAAAACTCTAATTTCATGATTTAGAAATACATGCCTAAATATTTTCCATTCTCAATATTTTTATAAATACCCGTAATGTTCTACTCATCAAAGTAAAATAGGCGAGTTTTAGTGGGCCAATCCGAAGAGAACTGAAAAGTATAAGATCTTAATACCTTTCTAGAATAAAGCACATAGGTATAAATTTCACATGTAATTGAAATAACAAATAGCAACAAATTTAATTTAAAAAAAAATAAATTTTTTTGTTAAAACAATTTTTTACAATAATGTACACCGGTATTTTAATCGAATAAAATGAAAATAATGATAAAATGTTGAACAAAGCTTAATTATAAATTACACATTATTTTTATGAGAAAATATCAAAGTTAAAAAAAAATTAGAAATAAAGATTTATAAAATTAATGACGGTTTAAAAAATATTTTAATAAAATTTTTTAATTAATCAATTCATACAAATAGTGAGTTTGGGAAACATATTAATGTTTTTATTATGTTGTATATTACAGGTCGCGCTTTTTTTTTGGTACTAATATTGGTACTAAAAAAATATTAGACGGTATACAAAATTTTGTTATTCATTATAAAAGTTAAAATTGTCCAAATATTCAGGTTTTAATGCTTAGATATTCAGTATTTTAACAATCGAAATTACATTTTCTTCAATAGAAAAATATTTTACTTGAAAAGACGAATGGGCGATTTTATCTGTGATCTGGCGTAGTAATAATATTATTCAATACAAGAAAAATACATATTGTTATTATACTTAAAAAGAAATAATTATCAAACGAAAAATGTTTAATTAGAGCGTTTTGTAAAAAGCTCACGTTCAGATAATACAGAAGCAACAGATTACCCATAAAGCCAAGTTAATCGGCCTCCTCATAAGTCAAAGATAATAGCGAAGAAATTAAAAATGCACCTGCCCTATTCGAATACGGTTACAATTCCAACACGGGTTTGTTCGTTTAATGTGAATGTATTCATCTTAAACAATACAGTCATAAAAAAAAACTTTTAAACGAGCCAAAAAAAGATAATAGTTTTAAATGTTTTATTTGATTTTCAAGTGGTTCATTGGTTTACTTTTCTCGGCTAACGCGTATGGACTAAAATCTAACTCACAATCGATCTCATAATAATACCAAGTCAAAAACATAGATTTTTTTAACATATATTAACGTTCAACTTTGAAATTATCAATACAACAAAAATTATATAAAAACATTAAAGTGAATCATGATTGTTAAGTTAGCTTAATATTCTACTAAAATAAATAAATAAAGTTTGATTTTAACTGTGCTGTAAATAGTACAGCCATCTGTAATTTCAATTTGTCTTTTCATTTTATGCAATAAAACAATTTATCTCGAAAATTAGATTTTTTTTTATTTTCATTGATCTAGAAGTGTCAGAAATGTTTTTTCAATTTTTAGTTAACAAAAAAATTCGTTTAGTTAATAATTGTAACATAATTTTCGCCTTCCTCGTAATACATTTTTTTTACATGTTGTATAACAGTAAAAAAAATCTGACGGCCATAAAAACATGACTTATCAACACTAGTCATGATGTTGACGGTTAAGAAATTTAATGAAGATCTTAGTAGAGTAGCTTAAATATCTATATATTTAAGCTACTCTACTAAGATTTTATGTGTGTTTGGTGTATACTTAATAGATAGAAACGTGAATATATATGCACATAATCATTACTATTACACAGGTTTAATACTGAAGTTAAATATTAAAGTATTGGGAAATTCTTTAATGTCAAATCATCGGCTCTAGTTTTGTTATTTTTTCCTGATAAATAAAATTTGACTGGTCGTTTCTCGTTAGATACTAAAATTAACGACAACATTAATGCTCTAATTTCTGTTAAACTTCACTTAAAGATCAAAAATATTAATATCCTTAATGGAATTTTAAAGACATCAAATCTATTAGAAGATAATTGAAATTATCAAAGAAAACAGCACACGTGTTTCTTTGATCGCACTCGTCACTACTGCGGCCTATTGAGTTGTACTGTTTACATTACATGAAAAACTCCGGAAAAACCCCAAGCTCGTCTTTTGACAAAGCTCGAGGAAAAATCCCTACGATTTTCGCCTGAAAAGTTTATCAAAGACTGTATCACCACATTGAATAGGATTTAAAAGTGCCCATGTGTCTAATCTAAGAAGACATTTCAGTACGTTGGAAAAACATACTCGTACTATTCGAGGACGGGTTAGAACCGTAACGATTTTGTTTACCCATAGCAGTTATTCTAATAGGAAAATAATACATTGGAGAGCAGACACACATCCTCGTAAACAATGAGTGCGTCAAAAATCTAAGACGAATAATACCGATGATTCGTGTTTTTTGTGTTGACAGTAAAATAATATTCCATTTTTCCGTTTCCGGTCGACGCACAAGCGTTGCGCGAAAACCGCACTATTTCTCACGTACTTAGCGCCGAGTAAAACTTTAACAGTGTTTTATTATTACTAAACGTGTACCCTTTTCTTGGCGTGAAAAAGCACCGTGCCCCATAATTACAGCAATCGCGTGAATCTTCTTAGCGACAATTATACACTGACAATGGTTAACACTTTTCGGTCGGACGGTTTTTCACGGCGGATGCTCGTCGCGCACTCGAATAAACGCCAATTTTACCCAAATGCGTTTTACACGTCTTCTAATGCGATTATTGAAATCAAACGTTTGTGTGCGATATTTTCGTTTGATTTTTCTCAACAATGACATTTCAAATGTTTAGCCTCCCGAGGAAATTTCATCACCGTAATTGTTCGTTTCACGCACTGCGACGATCGCCCTCTAAGACGCAGTACTCACACGAACCACATTATTTGATTAACAAAGCGGTGCACGACGTATGTGTTTTTTACTGGCGTGTCGACGTTAGAGAGTATAATATGTGTTTAGGAGTTTTTTCTCATTTGGGCGGCGGCGGTGGAAATATGGGAAAACGTCATAAATTTCTTTTAATGCAGATAAGAATTTTCGCCGGTGAACTTTCTCGCGTGCATATAAATCAAAGTTGAGAGAACAAATAAAACGTTTCTCTTGATTACGAATTCACAGACCGCGACGCGCGTGCGGTCCGCCACCGAAATAAGATAAACTCGTCACCAAACCCCAAAATGCGCTTGTTACCCTCGTTTATAGCAACATAAATAATATATAGATGTATATTTTTTTGACCCCCGACGAGCACGGTTTATCATCTTGTTTTATTATTTTAACAAGCTGTATGATTTACGAACCAACCAAATACCACGTGATAACAGTGTACGAAAACGTACACAAAAACAGAACTTTACTATTGTGTCGTACAAAAACGCTATCATCGTAACACAATAATTCTGCGATTACAAAAAATAACATTTTTTTATTAATCTAATCGCTCGCGCTCCGGCCGTTAATCATAACGCATTCGAATAATAATATCGATATTACTTATTTATTTAAAAACTTAGATTACTTAAGTAAAAAAATCGAATATTCTGAAATCGAAAGTAATTAGAATAAATAAACAGTCGTTTTTATTCTGAAATCAATGTACTGTATTATTAACGCTTAAATTTTATTTGTTTTTTCGTGTGCAACATTAACATAGTTCTTATTATTTTAATGTATTTCCGTCTAATAAAGTCAATATCCAAAATTCAATTGACTCTAATACACGTCGAGACTAAGTAGTCTAGTGGTAATTTTAATTTAAACATAACACAAGTGTCTTAACCGTATTATGCAGAGTCTCGACACTGCACGGTAGTAACGCTATACCGTGTTTATTTTAGATATATATGTATACATTGAAATGGATGTATTTAGATTATTCAGTATTATTTTGTACAGATTGTAATACTAATGAGTAGAGTATTCCCTTAAAAATAGTTCGAGTGGTTTACAAAAAACAGATTGTTACACTATAAATATACGCAACAATAACTGAATACACAAGTATAAGATCACAATATTAAAGTTCCGACGCAGAGCACAGTTTTTTTAAGAACATGATTAGTATAGATTATCATTCAA